ATGGGGTTGTTAACCAATGTCATAAAACAGTATGTGCACTTACTGTTTAATGAGAAACTATTTGTTCTGTAAACCTTCATCTAAAGTACAATAAAAAAAATTGTTTTAAAAAATAGCAAAAACTACTTAGAACAGTTTAGTAAGCATATTTTTATTATTTCAGTCATAAGGGGAAAATCCATTCAATTCTTTTAAATATTACAGGGAAAAATGACCAAGAAAAACTATGTGCAGTTGTAAAGATTATAAATAGGTAGTAAGGAACAAGTATGTAAGACACTATCGTCCTTGGGATTTTTTTGTTTAAGTGCTAGTTTAAAGAGTTTTCTTTTTTATTCAACCATCTCAACAATGTGATGTCATGTTTTCTCCTGGAAAGTAGAGGAAACAGCAATTTTTACTATTCTCAGTTATTTAAATTATCAATTCCGAGTAGATGTTCAGAAATAGTATGTGAATCTTTTTATTTTTTTCTTATCCTTTCATGACTTGTTCCAGTCTTCCTGTAACTCTACAAGGTTGTCACAAACTAAATCATTGAGAATTTCACTCAGAACAACTTGAATCTATAATTTATTGGGCCTGTATAGGAAGAAAAGTGAGTAAAAGTAAAACACAACAAAATAACTCTTTTGAGTAGACAGGAGGTATATACTATTCACAAGTGGGGTAGAAAATGATTCAGAAAAAGAAACAGTTTTAAAGGAACCTACAATGATTTTTTTTTTAATTGGAGGAAGAAAAAACATACTCAGTTGGAATTCAAGGAACTTGTTCTCTGTTCTTTCAATAGCAGACAATACCAATGAAGTATCATTCTGAGAAAGAATACAGTCCTTTCAGTATCAGATGATTCAATTATGTCACTTTCTATGAGGAAAACGAATAAAATTGTACTGAATTTTCGATAGAACAACAGTGTAGTTATAGGGATGTGGAGAGTATGTATGAAGCCAACCACTGTCTTCTAATAGTGGATTTTTTGATAATCCACTGGCCAGTCCTTTCGTTAACGATGAATATTTGAAGATGTGACTAAGTATATGCTTTGTGTATATGTGTGTATAGAAAAAGTTATGCATGGATACTCCCACAAGTATACACCAAGAACAAGTATTATCAGCAAAGAAATCTAATTTTAAGTACTTCAACTTTCACAATGTAGCCTTATATTGAACTAAAATTAATATAAAGTTCAAACCCTGAAAACTTAATATTTGCCTGAAAATAAGTTCATTAATTATGGTATGCAGAGATGGAGCTGAACATGCAGTTGGGCTTCTATTTTTCTACCCAGGTTTGGATGAGTTACTGCCCTTCAGAAACTTTTGCTGCAATACATGAAATGAGTTTAGATAAATGTAAAATGTGGAAATGGCAAGCCACCACACACGAGGGATTCGAAGACTTAAAAGGAAAATAAATAAATAAACTCTAAAATACATCCTGCATTTGCCCCTTGTCCTTTCTACCAGCTGGTCTTCATTTATTTCATTTTGAAAGTGAATATTTTAACTCCTAGGCAAATGCATGACCTGTATAATTAATGAAACGTGTGATTTAATTCAACACAAATGAAAGACACTTAAAGACCTCCAAACTCCAATGTCTACAATCCAGGGAGGTCATTGCCATTTGTTAGAGAAAGTAAATCCCAAGATTCTTTGAACAGGAGATCTTGAGAGGAAGAAGGTATTTAAAGAGTAAGATGTTTCTTCACTAAAGTCTTAGGAAATTGTGCATAGTTTGGAGGGACATAAGAGGCAGAAATATTTTCACTCCTTATAGAATAAGCAATTATTTCCTTCTACTTATAAGGTGACCAAAACCAACAGAAAGAAAATACGGAACTACACACAATTTCCCTACTGAAAAGCTGTTTGTATTAATTTGTTTTTCTAACTATTTCACTTTGGGCTACTTTAACCCTTTTTAGATTCAAATTTCAACCACTTTAGTGTACTTGTTATTTGTATAGGTTCTTATCTCTGGTAGAACCTCATTAAAAATAAAACAAAACTTTATTAATTCAAACTTTTGTTAAGTTTGCCTGAACCGAATTGACATTACAGTGAGAATTTATAAAAAAGGATTTAATAAGTGGATAGTTAATGCTTTCAGAAGACAAGACAGAACTAAATAATTTTCTAACCGTTTTAAAGAAATGAACAAATTAATTGATTGTTGCACAAATATTTGATATCTGAAAACACTTCTGGAAGAAAATAGTAATATTATAATTTGGAGATAATTAAGCCAGTTACTGTACTATGTAGAAGAGGCATGAAGAAACAACCACAGCCCCTTGTCTATAAGAAATCAGAACCAAAAGTGAAGGATGGAATTGTAAATAATGATAGCAATAGCTCACTACTTAGCCCTTACTATGTATAAGTTACTAAACTAAGTGCAATACACATAATGCATTATTTAATCCTCAAAATAACTCAACCTTTGAGCTCAATATTAAAGGTAGAGTTTCAATATTAAAGAAGGAGATTCCAGTTAAAGAGAATTAATTGCCTGTTGAAAGGCATAGAATGTTCAGGAACAACTGTGCAACTCCATAGGTCCGAAGTGGAGTAGCAAGATCTGAGGGTGAAAAGGTAATTTTATCCAAAATAATAAAATGTCTTATTCTGTCATTATTATTAACAGTAATAATGGCCACAAGCCTTGCACCAAGTACTTACGGATAACAATGTTTTTTAATTAGGCATGCATGGTGATGATGAGTTTTAACAGCAATTTCCACAGCTAAATATTTCTTGGTACACGGTGTATCTTGTAAGCGTAGACCAACACAAGCTTGGTAATATGTTTAAAAGGGGTGGACGAAAAGAATTATTTGGAGGGAGTTAAATGAATGGGCAAGATTGTAGACAGGAAGGAGTGAAATGCTGGAGTCAGGAGCTGCGCTCATAAATGAATTAGTTCAGTTCAGTGACATGTAATGGAGATCTTTCAGTGGTGTAGAATTCTTTTGAACTATCACCCACCCCTGGAGAAGAACTTTTTGGATAAGTTCCAGCACATGAAGGGAAAATAGTTTGCTTTTATAGCAGATTATTTGTGCTGCAGACCTGACTAGAAGCAGAAATTCAAAACTGGTCATTAAAATAAATACTCTTCTGTTCATAGAGTGAAAATGAGTTAACATGGGAAAAATACTAATTCACAGCCCAAACCACTTGTTTAAAATGGTCTTCCAAAATACACTATCATTTATAGAACTAGGTCTTTTTCTTTCCCTTGCTCTTATATTTTATCTATTTCCAGTGTTCTCTGAAAAAGTTTATAAGAAGCAAGAGATATAATAAAAACATGTAATTTTGAAAATGAAAGGCAACTTTGATCAATCTTTTTCCAACTCTTGATCTTAATGCAGATTTTTTTTTAATGCCGAAGTAAAGGATGACTATATATGGATAGTGTAAAATGAACTGCAACCTTGCTGGAGGAGATATTTTATTTCTTTTAAAATGCATACTTCTAATTTAAACAAAAATATTGCATGTTTAACTTATTGTTTACATGTTTATCTCAGAACTTGACAATTCTAGAATTATCTGACTTCAGTTCACTTTATTGTAACATCAGTTGACTAGTAAACTTTACATGGCAGCATCCTTGCAAAGAGGAAGCTATTTTCCATTTCACTAATTTCATTCCTGCTCCATTATTCATTATTGCATAATAGGCTTTAGATTCTCAGTACCAAAGCAATTACTCAGCATAGCGAGGAACTGACAACAGCAATTTAATTCTTATCTAGATACGTTATCATCTATACAAAGCTGTACATTCTAATGTAAAATCGTATAGGAACATAAAACCCGCTACTTTTACTTGTTATTTTTCTTTCCACAAATTCTAATTTTCAATCTAGCTAATAGAATGATTCATGTGACAATGTTACTATTAATTTTGCGAAGTCAGGTCTTTAGATAAAGTTTCCTAGTCGGCAATCTCTATATTAAAAATAAATAAATAAAACAAAACCTACTCTTGCACCTAGGTCATAATCCTAAAAATGTGATTGAGAGCGGGCATCTGCCTTAGCTTTCAATATAAGGAAATATTTAAACAATTGTTGGCTAAGATAAGATCTGAACTCACACGTGAGAAAGCACTCCATCTCTTGAGATAACATTTCATTATCATTATTTGGACGCAACAAGGAAAACCTATATCAAAAAAATTTGAGATGAATAGATTTCAGGTGTCATTTGGGCCAACCTCATTTTACAAAGGAGGATGCAAGAACCAGAAAAGGAAAGAGATTTGCTAAGATCATACAGCGTGTGGGTAATGGCACTGGGATTTGAATCTGTGTCCCTTTCCTCAATTTTTCAGCTAGAGAGCTTGGATATGATTAAAACTTGTTGCCACCCAGTCCATTCTGACTCATAGCGACCCTATAGGATAGAGTAGAACTGCCCTATAGGGTTTCCAAGGAGTGGCTGGTGTATCTGAACTGCCAACCTTTTGGTTAGTAGACGAGCTCTTTACCATGATTAAAATGACTCATTATTTTGTCATGTTGGAAGCCTGACTATCTCCTTCAAGGGTAAATCTCCTGCTTTACTTCTTAACTATTAGTAAACTGTTTTTCTCTCAACCTTGAGGAAATTCTATGAGAGAAACAATAGTATTTTCTGCCTTTATTTAGTACCTCTGTTTTTATCTCTAATTTGAATTAAGTGTGCCGAAGGTCTTTATTCAAGAATTCCAGTCCTCATAACAGTAATTCCCACTGTTGTTGAATTCCTCAAAAAGTCACTTACAAATTTATATGCATGATATAAATATATGATATATAGTTTAGAATTATTTTTTTCATGAATATAGAATATTGTATATTTCAATTATAGATCTAAAAAAACTTCTAAAATATATACATACACCTGGAAGGGAGTCTAATTTAAATAGGCAGGCAGACTGAGAGGAGAAAAACAACTAAGATTTCAGGAAGTATTTCTTGCCATTATATGCAAGACATTTATAAGCACTTGTAACACACCATCACATTGAGTATAGACATATTATTTCCAAATACTATATGTGAATAAGTAAGATAAGTATATCATTAGTTTACTTATTTTCATTAACCAGTATATTTGTGCTAATTGATCATGATGGCTGTAGAACAAAATATTTAAAGTACCTTTTTACATATGCACTTTATTATATATAAAAGTTTTATGACAGTTTTATTCAGGTAACCATTCTGCCTCAAATCTCACTGTTTTTATCTACACACCTCACTTACTACACAAGATACTCATTTTAAATCATACGACCTTCTTGTTGAACTAAATTTTTAACAAAATGTAAAAGGAACCTTCTTAAATTATCTTAAATCCAGAATTCAAATATATGTAACCATTTAAAGAACAGTTCTATATACCTATTAACCATTGAAGGACACTCATTGGAAATATAGGAAACTATGAACCCTGAATCTTACCCTTGTTTGGTGTGACTAATCAGTTTTTTCAGTAGCAGAACACTACTTGAATCTTTAATGCAGCTGGCTATGTTTTAAAATCTGGAAAATCGAAATCTGAACATCTCCTAAATGCATTTACTTTTATTTTTTTAGGCGGTTCCGCAGACAAGATGTTCGGCATGGAAATGCAGCTCAGCAATGCTTTGGACAGCAGTTTGTTGGTAATCCATAGAAAATCAATTACTATAGGTTAGAGTGTACATTACAGACAAACTGCAAGCTTCTCAAAAAGGGAGTCTTGTTTTCTTTGTGATTGATATATACGAGAACAATGTTACTGAAATGATTCTTTTTTTTCTTCCATGGAGTTAAAATATCATGGATTTGACATACAATTTTTTACGTAACTAGGAAAGTATGTTTTATATACCACCCCCAAGATTTAATATTATATCTCAAAACAGAAGAATCTTAGAATGAGTATGCTGTATTATGCTTTAGGGGGCTAATGCCACAGTGATGTGTGAGACTCATCTTTCCATCCCATACCTGGGAATTTCTACACCATGTTATATAACTTATGGAGATTTTTATCAAGAGTGATGTAACTTGTATCAAGTCACTTACTATACTTGGAGTAGTATAAGCCTATAGCTGGGGTTGGTGGTGCAGATGTGGGTATGAGATAAAGGGTTGTAGGCAGTTTGATAGGTAAAGGATAAGAGGAAATAGCTTTAGGCAAATGGAAGGAAGTCACAGAAGACAGAAAAACACAGTCCTGAATCTTCAGAGTATCATGGCAGTTGGTGAGCAGTCTGTGGTCAGAGTCACTGGGTTATCCAAGAAAAAACAGGAGGACGGGGCACTATGATGGCAAGTCCAGGGGTGATTATGCCCAGATCCAGAGGTAGTGGTCCAGCATTAGTTTGCTAGACCTCCGGCTGACTCAGGATTCAGTGGAGGACTCAAGCCTCTGGAGAATATTGGCAACAGAAATGCAGGATCTTTATCTCAGGGAATCTTTGGAGTCAGTTTTAAAGAAGAGGAGTCTGGCATGGGGAAAATAATCCGGATATCTAGTTATTGAGTCTGATGATGGTTAAGATAACAAAGAATGAATCCACTTGCTTTTATCACCCATTGCAGCTAAATGCACTTGCTTGTATGCAAATTTGTGTTCAAGTCCAGTAAGAGCCTTTCTGGCCCAAGAGATAAAGATTACAATCAAGAATATCTGGTTCACAAAGTCCTTGATTTGGTTTCATACTGTCTTCTTAATGCAGGGGCCCAACATCTGGATAAACGCAATCCCTTATCAAGATATTGGTCACACTTGTGTTTATGTCACATAAATACTGTATCACCTAGCTTTCCGATTTCTGCTTTTGTTTGTAACGTGAATTTGATCCTTTGCATTGGTCCACTCTTACAAGATGCACCCTTCTCCTCCCTGCTTTATCCATGGTCAATGGATATTGCCATTGATTTTCCATATTAACATTGATGTACCTTCATGTCCCTGACTATCCCATCCTTAGGTAGCCAAACTCCCAGTTACTTCTTCCTGGCCCATCCAATAGCCTGCCTACCTTCATGATGCCCGGATTTTGATATGCTAATCTTTCTAAATAACTCTAAAATCACCTTATCTAGAAATTACCATAATTAATCTTAAGTACTAAGAGTTACTCACTTTGCTACAAGGATCTGAATAGAAAATTCTTTAAAATTTACCAGTAAAATCCAAGTCTCTGCACTGATGTTAACATTTCATGTTGTAGGGGATGCTTTGGATAAGACTGAAGAGCGACTGGCCTATGGCATAGAGAACAATAGCACTTTGCTGGAATGTACCCCACGATCTTTACAAGCCAAAGTCATCTGGTTTGTACAGAAAAGACGTGAAACAAGAAAAGAGGAGGTAATTCATAGATGCATGTTCACACCATGCAGTCTTGCATATAATGTGTGATTAGTAAATATATAATTATTTGGGTGTTTAAAAATGAAAAGCTGTTGCACTAAACATGTTTCATTTAAAAACCAGGTTTATTTCTTATATCTGTTTTTATATACATACATATTATAAACATATATATATTTTATATGCAGATATAAATGCTCTATATATGTCAATAATTTGGATACTAGAAATTGTATTTTTATTCAGAAGGTACTTGTAGCTTCATAGTTTAGCGTGGCATTGTCAAAATGATAGGCTAAATATTGTGTTGCCCAAGGCAATAGCCCAGTGAAATAGCAAACTTAAACACCATTAACACATATATCATAGAAAAATGAATAATAGAATTAAAACAACAACAGTGGTGGCATTAAACTGGTTGTATGATAAAGCTTTTAAATCATCTATGAGACACTGACATGGGGGTTCTTGTCTACTGGAAACAAAGGAAAGGTATTAGTTCTTTTGGCTTTTAAAGTTTAGTGGTAGATATTATATTTCTGTAATCATCTAAGTGATGGGAGAGGAATGACTTGGGCTGCTTTTAGAGAGATGGAAGAATAGGCAGCATTTAAGGCACATGGACAGAGTGGTCTGGAGGCAGTTACTGGATAAAAGAATGAGATGATCTGAGGGAGCTAGTCGTATACAGAGAGCGGTCAAGGACGTGAAGCAGCTAGGGAGGGCAGATAAAGCATCATTGATGTTGATGTGGGTTTTGAACTCAGTTTTCACAAAAGTGGAATTATAAAACTAGCAAGTGGGTGAAAATACAGTTATATTAGATGGAGATAGAGACATGGTCTTTATAAAATAGAAAGTTGTGAGTTGAATAAGGGAAAGAAATTCTAGAGCCCAGACTTAGGGCACAAAGATCTAATTAGTGCATATAGACTAGAGAGCAAATGGATGGATGTCTCCACCTCATTTTGCATTGGAAACCAAACAAATGTGGAGCATTTGGCTTCTCATGTCTTTTGCTAGCTTACTGTCAAACTAAAAATCGAACATGTTTTTAGTTCAGTCACTCTGGGATATGATAAATTTGTAAATCCTAAATTCCTAAGATAGCTATTAGAGAGGAAGACACCTTGATTTAACAAAGACTACTAGAGATAAAATAAAAAATGTGATCAAGAATAAACATGTGTCCAAAAAATGTTGTAGCATACTGCAGTGAACTAAAATTATTGGTTTAATATTAACACATTTTCCATTTCACAAATCTGAGGTGAAGAGGCTTTTCAAATTCCATCATAACTCACTTGGCAGTGGAGGACGTGGGAATATTCCATAGTTCCTCCAGTTGAATGGCTTCAGAAGACAGAGAAATAATTCTTTCATCAGTGGTTTTATTCACTCAGTATGTTCTGTTTCTAATTTGGAACTCATTATAATCTTTCTCATTTGGAAATCTTTACCAAATCATTTTGACATGCCGCATCCATCAATGTTCAATTATAAGCTTCTTTCTCTATGGTTGATATAATCTACCTCTCCTTTCCCATATTTTTAGTCTCTATTTTCAAACTACACTAAAATTTCCCTGACTGATACATTTACTGACATTTAAAATTTCGAATTTATTCTGTGCATTAAAGGGCATGTCATAATCAGACAATACCTTGTTTCTCTAGACATAGCAATATATGTATTGATTTATGCACAATCTAAAACAAAAGTTGCTGACTTCATGAAAGGCGGAAAATGTATGCCGTGTACACAAAGCAGATGACTCTGCATATGAGCCCTGAGTTTTATTTAAAGGCTATTTTTTGTGTGTGTTTATTATAGTTACTATGAGACACAGAAGACAATCATTTTTTAATCAAATCTTGACCACTGAAAAGAATGCTTAAGTACACATAGTCCAATTCTTACCCATGGGAATGCTGTTAAGAGTATCCCTGACAATGGCTGTGAAGGCTTGTTGTGAACACTGCAAGTCACAAGAACTCATTAATTTGCAGTCAGATAACAGCCTTTTGTATATGGTCATATAGGTATCTTCCTTTTATTAAACTGAAATTTTTATCCTTGTACCTGCAAATCCAAACTCAATTCCCCAAAGTGACCCAGCAACCACATATTAATGTGGGTAAAGTTTTTGCTTGAATGAATCATTAGAAGCACTAAATAACTGAGTTACTAGAAAGCATCTAGAAACTGTGTTATCAAGAGTCTCTAAACTTTGAATTCTGCAATTCTCTCTAATATGCATATCATTGTCTCCTGTTCCTTAAATCAAACACAAGGAATACACACTCTCTTCATTTTATTTAATTCCATAAATGTTTACTGAAAGCCTATTTTTCTAGGTACTTCATAGTAATGTTGTTGTCAGGTGCCATCAAGTTGGTACCAATTCATAGCGACTCTGTTTACAACAGAAGAAGATTCTGTCTGGTCCTGAGCCATCCTTGCTATATTTGAGCTCATTGTTGCAACAACTGTGTCCATCCATCTCACTGAGGGTCTTCCTCTTTTTTGCTGACCCTCTGCTTTACCAACATGTTGTCCTCCTCTAGGGACTGGTCCCTCCTGATAACATGTCCAAAATACATGAGACGAAGTCTCGCCATCCTTGCTTCTAACGAGCATTCTGGCTGTACTTCTTCCAAGACAGATGTGTTCGTTCTCTGGCAGTCCATGGTATATTCAACATCTTCATTAACACTATAATTCAAAGGTATCAATTCTTCAATCTTCCTTGTTCATATGAGGTGATTGAAAATACCATGGCTTGGGTCAGGCACACATTTGTCCTCAAACTGGCACCTTTGCTTTTCAGTACTTTAAAGAGGTCTTTTTAGCAGATTTGCCCAATGCAATGCATCGTTTAATTTTTCGACTACTGCTTCCATGGGAGTTATGCTCATGCAGAACCTGTACATAGGCCAAGAGGCAGTTGTTCAAACAGAACAAGGGGATACTGCATGGTTTAAACTCAAGAAAGGTGTGTGTCAGGGTTGTATCCTTTCACCTACTCATTTAATCTGTATGCTGAGTAAATAATCCAAGAAGCTGGACTATATGAAGAAGAATGGGGCATCAGGACTGGAGGATGACTCATTAACAACCGGCGTTATGCAGATGACACGACCTTGCTTGCTGAAAGTGAAGAGTACTTGAAGCACTTACTGATGAAGATCAAAGACTGCAGCCTTCAGTATGGATTATACCTGAACATAAAGAAAACAAAAATCCTGGCAACTGGACCAATAAGCAACATCATGATAAATGGAGAAAATATTGAAGTTTTCAAGGATTTCATTTACTTGCATTCACAGTCAACACCCATGGAAGGTACTTCATAAGGGACCAGTTTCCCTTGACTTGATGACCTGGTTAATTATGATGTGCATCAGTTATTGTGATATTGTGAGGGAGAAAAAAAAAAAAAAGACTTAGCTATTCTTTAATGTGCACCTACCATACACCCAGGAACTATGACAGTTGCACTACCTTATTATTTCTAGATCTCACAGCAAGCATATTGAGTATAATTATTTTCATCTTGTAAATGTAGAAAATAAAACTCAGAAAGTCATCTGGTTTTCAAGGTTAATGATAGAGCCAAGATTTGAACTCAGGAGACCCCAGGACTGTGCTGCCTCACATTTATTCATTGTCTAAGTACCAAGGACTATGCTACTTTTTTTTTTTTTTAATAGATTATATCATTTTGTTCTAAAAACATTTTGGTTTATAGGTAACTGAGGCAGAATGTTTAATATCTCCCCTGGTTTCTCATAGCTAGTAAAGTAGAATTCAAATCCAGGTCTCTAAGATCTTTCTAGTAAACCACACCACCTTCTGAAGTCAGAATTCTAAATACAGTTTCAGATGTCCTGGGATATGGGACAAACAGAAAACTGTTCATAGAAGAAATTCTGGAATTCGATTTCTGAAAAACACTCCTAATGTCAATTTGATCCTTGTATATTTTCATTTTCCGTCAGGGTTTAGTGAAGCATGCTGTTGCAGCCTTCGTGACACGGTCACTACTCCTCATGTTTAGACATCTGAGAACCTGCCTATGATTAGAACAGCCCCTACTCTAAACGCTGATAGCATGAGTCATTGTTATATACTGTATTCCTTGTTTCAAATTGCCTTTTAAAGTTTCTACTCTATGACCTGTGGGTAGAAGAAGAGGGCTTCTATATCACACCAAGCATCTTCTATCATTTAACTCTATGTAGATATAAAACTCAAAGTTCTGTACCTCATTTTCTTAAGTTTTTAACTAAAGGTATATTCTATCCATTCATCTGAAACGTATTTATTAAGCACCTACTATGTCCTGCTTTCATAGAACTTACATTCTGGAGAACAGAGAAATACGATAATAAAAAGCTAAATAAGAACAGTACTTAATATGTCAGTTAATGATAGAAAAATACAGGAGATGTTACTTGCAGGGCGTACTGTACTGTTGCTGTCAAGTTGATTCCAACTCATAGCGACCCTATAGGACAGAGTAGATCTGCCCTGTAGAGTTTCCAAGTAGTGTCTGGTGGATTCGAACTGCCGACCTTTTGGTTAGCAGACATAGCTCTTAACCACTACACCACCAGGGTTTCCCTTCCAGGGACAGGTTGCAATTTAAAATGGGGTGGTCATGGAAGGTCTCGCTATAAAAAGATCACCAAGAAAAGTGACATTTGCAAAAACATCTGAAAGATGGGAGGGAATAAGTCATGTGACCATCTGGGAGAAGAACCTTCTGAGCAGAGAGAACAGCCAATGCAAAGGCCCTGAGGTAGTTGTGCAGCTGGTACAAAGGCCCTGAGGTAGTTGTGCACCTGACATATTCAAAGAACACCAGAGAGGAGGGCACTGTGGATGGAAGGGAATGAGTAATAACAAGACTAGTAGACTATGGTCAGAGAGGTAGAAAGCTGGCTCATGCAGGGCCTTGAAGTTCATCGTTAAGGGCTTTGGTTTGCTCTGAA